TTGAATTAATTATAGACATGCGAAGTTGTTGATTTTGTATGGGAAATGGGTGGCCCCCACTAGGGTGGCCCCAGTAAGGGTGGTTTGACTTATTTCAACCAGTACCGGCTCTGCCTAGACTTCGATTTTCTCTGCGCCGTTAACTTTAATAGAGTCCGTGATGGATCCAGCATCGACAGCCTTCCCAATATCAATACAGATGTTCGCACCAGCAGGCCCAGCGCGCTCGAAAGATCTGCCACGCTTCTCGGGACCTAGCGCAGCTGTTACCGCAATACCGACGGCGACGATTGCGAGCGCAATTCCCATAGTTGGGCCGTACCCATCGACTAACTTTCCGCTCTTGCTTGTAACAAAATTGTTCTCGGCAATAGCATTGACGATCTGGGCTGCTGGCGAAGATACCAAGTTGCCTAGCTGATACGCGAGGCCTGGAAAGGTAGATCGGTAGGCAGGCGGTGACAATTCGTTGAGGTGAATAGGGACTACGCCCCAGGCTCCCTGTACAAAGAATTGAATCGCAAATCCAGAAGCAGAGAGTCCTGATTCCTCTGAGGGCAGGATCCAGGCCGGGACAAGGCAGCAGCTGATAAGCGCGGCACCAATGATGGCTCTACGACGGCCGATAAATTGAGAGAGGTAGCCAATAATAGTGCCGCCAACACAAGCTCCCGTGTTCATGAGGATACTGGCACGCGTAGCAGCATCGTTGGGGAGCTCCTTTGACTCTAGCATGAAAGTCGTATAGCTATCCTGACTAGTATGTGCGTAGTAATTAAACCACGTCATCAGAAAAATGCAGTATACGCACATACGCCACTCCTTAGCGAGCATCGCTTTAGTTTCCTTCCAGAAGTCGCCGGCTGAAATGTGATGACCGGTAGCCTTAGCCTCTATAAATTGGTTGGACTCTGGGAATAAACAGCGTAGGAGGCCAGCGCCGATAGAAAGGCCAGACGCAATCCAGAAGACGGTCTTCCAGGTATCCGTGCCACCGCCGACACCTAGATTCGCGCACGCAGCAAGAACATACCCAAGAGCGTAACCTTGTTGCAGGATACCACTCATTAGACCACGTGATTCTGTCCTGTTAGATGGCCTATTAGCATTATATACTTGGGGGTGCAAGAAGTCCTATATCATACGGGCAGTTCTCAAGAGCCATGGCCACGGCGTTGCCATACACCCCCCCCATAAATAGGCCGAAGAGAGATCGCACAGCAAGGAACTGCTGAAACGTGGCGCTGTAGATGGTCGCAATTTGCAAGAGACCTAGTTAATCGAAGTGTCAGCCCCTCGGAATTGATTAAGGGGTTAGAACCTTACCAAGAAAAATCAAGTTGCCAACCATTGGCCATTTTCGACCAAACCGATCGCCGAGGAGGCCAAATACGGCAGCACCAACAGACCTCAAAAGCAGTGTCAAGGTGATGGCAGTAGTGATGTCAGTCTTGCTACGCTCGTAGTAGTGCGATAGCTTGACGGTTTGGATCGCCAAGGCGTGGAAGTCGAAGGCATCAGCAGTCCACGCGAATAGACCTACAAGGAAGTAAATCCAATCCCTCGCGCTCAAACGCATAAAAAGCGAAATGGGATTTCTAAGCTTCTCGGGGGACTGCCATTCCGTATGGGATTCGCCCAGCTCGTTTGTAACAATCACCCTTTGTTTCCATCGAAAAAGATCGCCCCAAGATTGCTTCGCCGTCGCGAATATGCCTTTTGCGAGGGGATCCACGGACTCATTACCAACTGCCATTTTAGGTAGAAGAGCACGACTGATTTGCTGAGCTCTTTGTAGGTCCGTAGGACTCAGGAGAGGCCACTTACTTAGGTCGCTAGCGTCTTCAAGAAGACGTAAACTTCACGGCCTTCGAGCTTGGAGCATACCAATTTAATATGCCGAGTATAGTCTCCAAAGGGGTTTAGATAAGAATAGTGGATGGTATGTCGGGTATCATTTTAGGTGGTATTAGTGAGTCCTCGTTTAGTAGTTCCAATTGCGTCGTGGCGACTCCATTCATTATATGACCTTATTCACGCAATGCAACTCGGTATAGTAAGCATAGGTGATTACAATACTATAAGGGCGCTTGACATCGATCTTGCTAACGAATGGAAATAGTTGAGTCGTACTATTAACAAGTGTTCGCTTATCCAGAGGCAAAAGACGGGCGTGAGTTGGCATGGTGGGTAGGCTAAGAGTTCGAAGAGGTAATTCCTCCTGTATAATAAGTTTTGTGTCGGGATTTTAGATGTAGATTGTCGTAGCTAGGTTGGAGTTCCTTGCGGAACAACGAAGTTGTTTCTATACTGTTTGGGTCCACCTTGTGACATCTTGATCCCTCGTGTAATGAGTTATAGACGCTGTAACTCATATGGCATGATAGACCCATGGCTATTTACATGAGGTAGCAATTCAGGTATTTAATTATCAACCAATACCTAGGTAAATGTAGGGTTACATGCAGATAGCCTAGAGCTGTGGCAGTTCTAAAGGAGCCATCTAAGTGATATTGAATCTCCATGGGCGCAGAAGTATCTCCGATAGCTCCACAACACATAGAAAATAGAGGGAACTGGAATTTCCGCGGAAGTCTCGTGCATAAATTACCATAACACAAGATGTTCATAATAATAAAAATAAGTGACCAGTTAACCCCAGTATTTTCTTTATGAATTGTTGGGAAATTCTAGATTTTGCGAAGCTATATAGACCGGACTATAACACAATCATGAAATATTGCAATATCGGAACCTGTGACCTGCTTTAATGCTTGTCAGAAGCCAGTTTGTTCGAAAGGTCCTGAGAAGCTCATGAAGCGGTGTCATAATATTGATATTAAGTAAACTCGACTATAAGATCATTATATGCATCTTACTATATTATATGGCCCATAGAACTTTCCTAATAGAACACAGCATTATGTTTCGAAGCTAGACGACGAGGCGGTCTCTTTAAAGTGCCGAAAAAATCACAATGGGATTCACATGGGCTGAAAACACACAATATACGATAGACCCGTTCCCTTAGGAAATCTCTTTGAATAGAAGTTTCATACGCAGAAGTGACATGATGTTGACTACACTATGGTTAACGATCATCCTTCCAGGAATCCCGCAAGAAATAGAGTGAACTTCTACTAAGCGAACAAGGCTTTAACCTAGGCGCATACTGATTTAACTCATAATCATGAACTATGTTTGATAAAACATTTTCCTTCGATGGATTTATAAAGAATTTGCTAAATTAGACATGGGTATATGGCTGCGATGCTCGAAATTAAGATAGACCAATATTACTGTCGTCTTACTTTACATGTCTTAAGCAACTACGAAAATCCTTTTCTGGAGAAAAAAAAGGGTTGTAAATAGCTAAGTTAGGAAAGGGGTTAAAGAATCATGCTGTAATAAGAATTATATAGATACCTCAGGTATCTAAGCCTAACTAAAATCCATAAACACAATCCCAAAATGCTAATTCAATAAAAAAAAGAGCCGTTTTGGTGGCCTTCAAATACGTAGGTAAGTATAAGCATTATATTGTCGCCCAAAATCTTTCTTATCGTCTCTCGGCTCTCCCAGCGCATTCTGGACGTCGTCGGCTTTTCTTTTTCTCGGCCTGTGTCTCATGTACCTCCTCATCGGTCATCGTACTGGACGATTCTAATAAATGCGGCGAAGGTTCTGTACTAGGCGCTGCAGACTTATCCCTTTCGATTTGCTGCGCCTCCTCCTCGTCAGGCTTCTTGGAGCCGGTGGATGCGAATCTCGAGCGGGTGCGGATACGTCCGCCATACTTATAGAAGGCGAATGGAATCACTGCCAACAACGTGGCGATGCCGCCGATTAGGGAGCCTCCACCCCCAACACCAAGCGCTTCGAACATATAGTTGGTGAACAAAGGTGCTGCAGCACCGCAAGCCGAGCGACAAACGGTATTTATTGCGATAGCCGACGCAGCGTACATCAAATAGGAGTCGACTAGATAATTCATATACCCGACAAATATAAGCATGAGCGAGGTCGCCAAGAATACTCCAGCTATCGTTGGGACTATCCAATGAATGGAACTGTAAAATCTGTCAGTATCGGTCTAACATAAATCATATGCAGTTTGCCTTACTTGAACTCGGCGGTCCATGCGAACCAAAACATGGTAGCTGGAAAAAGAACGCCGCCAATGAGAGCCAGAGTTAACCTGTCCTCAGGTTTTAGAGATATCCCGTTCTGCATCTTTTTAGTCTTATATTTGTAATCGAAGAAAACGACGATAGCACCGATGAAGGACCCGATCACGGTTCCAATCAAGGGTAGCTGGCCAACCCCAGCGTTCCACCCTCGTCTCTGCTGGAAGACTATTGGGTATATGGTGAATAACATGTAGAGCAACATGTACACGACAGACATGTATACAGCACATAAGAAGGAGATGGGATCAAAAAGGATAATCCACGGTCTCGTGAGAGCCACTCGATAGATCCCTAATAATGAGCGGTCACTCTCCTCAACCGGGGCCTTGACATTTTCGTAACCTGGGATCTTAGCCTTCCTTATGCGGCGAGCTCGATGGACTAATATGATAGGGCCGAAGGTCTCGGGGATGGTAAACATAGGTATCGCCGTAGCGCCGCCGATCCATAGCAAAACATAAAAGATCCATCTCCAGTTCTTCGTAAGCTCGAGAAATCCTCCGGCAACTGGCCCGAGAGCCGGTCCTACCCAAATCACTATGATAATATTAGCCATTAGCTACGACATTTGGGAATTTGAACCGCAACTTGGAAGCGATAACTCTTTCATCACAATCAAGATGCTTTAACTTCCGAATCATGTTATAAAGGAGAGGGTAGCTAAACGTTACATACTGCATGAGAAAGCCGCCATCATAAATCCACGCTCAAGGGGGCCCCATAGGTCCGCAATCACGCCCGGGCTATTGCTGAGCGGAGCGCTCACGAACGTGCCTGTGAGGAACCTGCCGACAAGCAAGCTTCCGAAATTGGGTGCAAAAGCACAGAGGAAATTGAATGCGATATACAGCAAGAAGGTACTATAGAAAATCCACCTTCTTCCGTAGAACTATTTAAACCGGTTTGTTTAGCCCTTAATTCACTCTTAGGGGTAATACCTTGGGATTTCATACCTCCGATAGGGGAGCAAAAATAAGAGGACCTGCGCAATAACCGAGGAGGAAAAGGGTTATAGTGAGTCCAGCCGCTTCTTCCGAGATGTTAAACTCTTTAGATATGCTCTACAGTACATTGCGTCAGTTATGCCGATGCCACGATATAAACATGACTGCAAGAAAACAAGACTTACACCAAAGCAACCAGAAGGGGCCGATGATGCGAAGGTGGCATTCACAACAAGCAAAACCGAGCATATTGTCACGTACCAACGCCTAGGGTTAGACCAGTTATGTGGGTTCTCGATATCGTCAGGTTTGAAATCGATATGCCCATTATCATTTAGGTACGGTTGTTCTTCGAATTCCAGCTCAGCAGTCTTATATGGCTTTGCCGTAGCCCGCGACAGGATACGAGTAAGCCGTCCCATGTTAGTCTATTCCCGATTCTACTCTCTGATATCTGAGGTATGAAGTATTTGAATAGGACATATTAGTAGGCAATTGGAGAGGATCAACGATAATAATAAAAGAAAATACGATGAATAAAGCAAGCTGAAAGTTCGCGTTTAATATTAAAGGCGATATTATGTACAAGACAGGTAGCGTAGCACTGAGACGAGGATGACATCATTGAGCCAACCTTGGTAACTACCGATGTGAGATTTCATATCGAGTGTTATTACCGGTGCCCAACCCCTAAAGACCGAGATAACTCCACATATTATCAATCAAAATTACTAGAGCCGCTATGATGTATTACATATGCCTATGGTATTGTTCCTCGAGCACCGGGGATAAGGCATATCCTGACAGCATACATCCGCTATACTAGACGTGATCCGGAAATAAGAGATCACTATACACCCCTCTTCCTCCTTTAATTAGTTCTGAACACCTTTTGGAATTTCGCATTTGTCAACAACATAGAAACTACTCGAGTACCTGACTCACGTTGGGGAGATTCAAACACTGATTACAAAACACTACAAAAGTCATTAGCTGGTCAGCTAGTTGTCGCCATAATCTTAAACATATACGTAATATCTAGAATTGTGTGTGCCTTGCGTTGAAAAGGAAAAAAAGAGAAAAAAAGGGGGGGAAAGGAGAGGACGCTCAAAAGATGGATCCTCTTATTCACGTCTATTAGAATACCTTCGAAATCTAGTGACGTCTCGTTCAGGAAATGTTAGATAAAGGGGTTTATTCGGACGATTATGCAAGATAGTTGGCCATATGTCTATAGCCCAACATAGGCACCACCCACGTATGACGAATTCAACACTTTTACAAGAGAGTTGCATTAGACGCCTTGATATTCTCGGATGAAGCGGTGGCCAAACCCTTCTCTGCTCCCACATCATCCTTCCCCTGCGCCTCGATAATAGTGTCGTCTAGATCCCAGATCATACCCTTTAATAACGTCTCCTTTGCTGGTATGGCGTAGTTTAGTGCCACGTAAAGAACGGCCGAAGTTACGAATCCGAACAGGAAGTTAAGAGTGTAGAGATTAGTAATGCCATCGTTAATATGAACAACTTGGGGGCCGCTGATGCTCAGGCCTAGCCCGGGTAGAAGAGGCGCGACGGGCACGATGAAGGCGACCGCCGCGCGCCAGTTACATCCACCGACGTAGCGATAACGACCATCCGGATCATACAGGCTCGGTATGTCGATCTGCCTCTTCTTTACAAGCCAATAGTCAGACGCCATGATGCCAGCTATCGGCCCGAGGAAGACGGCATACCCGCTCATGAAGGCGAGGAAGGTCTGCGCAGAGCTGAGGATCTTCCACGGCACCAGCACCCAACCGCCGATAAGCGCAGCGACAATGCAACCTCGTCTTATATTAATCCAGCGAGGTAAAAGAACGGTCAGGTCGTTGGCTGCCGAGATCGAATTCGCGGTAATATTTGTTCCAACCTATTACACGCTACCTTATTACGAAGAGCCCCTTATAAACTATAACATTAGGCTGTTGTAACGTACCTGTGCAACATACCACGCGAGGGCGGCAAAGAAGGCGGCACATCGTCCACCAGAGCCATAGTCGAGCCAAATAGCCATGATATCCAGGGGATTCCAGAGGTAGTCTCCGCTAAATACTTTGCTCGCGGCCGTTGTCACAATACCTAGAACGCCACACAAAGTAAATATATTAATGGGCATTGCTAGGAGTTGGATATATTGACCCCTGGCCGACTTCGCATAGCGAGTGAAATCAGGTATGTTTACAGCCAAAGTGCTCCATTGACCTGCCACGCTCGACATGCAAGTCAGCCATAGCCAGGCATATTGTCGTTCGTCAGCTGTTGCTCGCAAGGCAAAAATATCACCACCTCCTCCAGCCCTTTTAATACACCATCCCATCGTTGCAATGGCAGCTACCGGAGCGGCCAATAGTTTGACCCAGAACAGAGGACGTAGCTTGGTAGGGTGGATAAGGAGTAGTGGTAGTTGAATTATCCAAAAGAGAAAGTAAGAAAGCATCCCTTGCGTCGTGATGGCGGCAGATTGGGATAGTTGGTTCGGAATGTCGTTGTACGACGGCGCCCAGGCACGCAGCATGATCGTGATGCACTGAGCTCCGTTTGCGCCCTAGATGTTCACGTTAACCTGTGATGCATTCCATTCGAGAACCATCCTCGCTAGCTTCTTTACCTGTATACCCAGCCAGAACATAGCTAGAATGGCCCGGCTAACGATGCAGAAATATCTTAAGTAGTAACCGAAGCTACTAGTCGCAATCACGGAGAAAGGCACATGAAGTTTAGCGCCAATGGCGCCGTTAAGCACAAGAGGCACGGCGACGCAGAAGGTTCCCACTATCATGATAGGAATAGCTTCACGCCAACTCAGGCCTACTGCGAGAATTGCAGAGGCCGTCTGCCATGTAGCCAAATTAATCGTGTCGGTAGCCCAGTAGGCCAAAATCATCCACGTATTCCACGTCTGATCCTCGATGGGCGTCGGGTCTAATCAGCCCGCATTAGTATTCAACACGGAGTATTCCGGACAGGCAACTCTACCCATATCACAATTCGTCCATACGTGTGACGGGGCCAGCGCTCCAGTCTGCTTAGGAAGTTCCCAATAGTGGAGGGAGGTAAACCTCCTTTTGAGCTCAGCGGCCGACAACTTCCTTGAGAAAATAACCATCTTGCCAGACTTTAATGCTTTCAAGATAGCAATCGGCTCTTGAAGCAGGAGACGCAAACCAGCAGCTCTGTTAAAGGTAAACTTATTTTAGGTAACTACAGGTGAACTACTCGAGGTAACGCTATAACGCCGTAGATATATACCTACCTAACCTACAGCATCGTGGTCATACGGAACGATGTCAGATAAGAAAGCTCCAAGATGCAAGACAGCCAGCCTCCCGGCCATCCTAGAACTATCCTGGAATGTTATCCCGGAATCCAATGAGGAACGAGTACCTTATCAATCTCTCCCGATTCACGTATCTGGGCGGCCATGGAAATTTCGCAAGCCGAAAAGCAGTTAGATTGCTCAGGTGCAGCTTGACCATCCATCCTTAATATCTTAACCTAGATGTGTATGATTTATGTAGCTACGGTACCAACGTGGATCCTACGTAGAGGTAGGTATTAGATCCGTGGAATGTCTCGGAAGAATGCAACGGCAAGATAACAGGGATCAATTTCTGGCCCGTATCGCAATCAAGATCCATCTCCTAATGTTGTTAGTGTACGCTTTCACTAGATGGAGTTCCCTAGGTTAGGTTTTTAGCTCTTAATCGTATTATTGTATTTTATCCATCTTTATTATTTTCACCACGACGTCGACTTCTAGCACTATTTCTAGTTGCCGATGTTACCCAGCACAACATCTCTAATTCCTTAGATATCTACGATATCATGTAGAAGGCCTTTATCGTCGTGTTAGACCTTCTAAGCCATCCTGCTTCTCACAGAATATGTTGATAGCTTGGATAATCTTGACTTCACCCTTACCCTCCTGGCTCCGAGTAAAAGCTAAGCGCCAAGCACTCTCGTCTTCGACTATATCGCTATAATCGCCCGCCTCTTCCTCTACTTTACCCTTAAAAACACTCCCAGTTTCACCTTTCCACGGGTTAGCTGGTGTATCCGCCAACTTAGTCAACAGATGCGGCGCAACGGTGATATGGTGAGCGCCCGCGAGCTTCATGACTTCTTGGATGGACGTCAAGCTAGCGGGTAGAACCTGGGTCTTGCTCCCGATCTTCTCGTAGTATCGCTGAGCAGAGCCGCAGAAGTCGAATGCTTTATGCTGGTCGACGTAACTAGATGTCGCGCCTAGATCAGCTTCCATGTACACTCACTTGGTGTTACCGGGTAATATATACTTCTCGTCAAAGTGCACTCGCAGCTCATTGATGTACGGTGCGATGTAGGTACAACCCACATGAGCTGCTAGAGCAGCCTGTTCAAGACAAAACATGGTCGTTGCTAATGTGGAAATGCCTTGGTTTTCCAATTCGCGACATGCTTGTAATCCTTCCCAGGTGGATGGTATCTTGATACAAACCCTTTGGGCGTCGTACGCTGGGTCCAGATCCTTAAATATCGCCACGATGCCTGGCATAATAGTTTCCATTAGCGATTCGATCACCACAGTTCAACATCACCTCCGTCGCGCTAAGGATGCTCACGTACGCTTCGCATTCTCAATTGTCTTCTCCTTATTATAAGAGTACTTTGGATTTGTCTGTATATGAGAGTATCCCTTCAAGTAAGGTACTATTCTCAAAGCCAGTTTCACCATCATAGTCTCTACTGCCAGCTCTGTTACAGCCACGTCCGGGTATGACGAACATTTCGCCGACGCATAGTCGATGGCATCTTGAATCAGTCCGGCGTGTAGAGGCTTTCCGTCTTGGTTAAGACGTATCAACTCGTGGTATGCGATCGCCTTGTATGCTTTTAGCCCCTTGCGTCTCGTAAGGAGATTGCTCTTAAACTAGCTCACCTGGTTTGACGTACAGTCCACGAACGGACCAAGCTGCCTTGGTACTATGTTGATGAGCTTCTAACTGCCTTCTCATACAGTTCACCCTAGTTATCGGTTGATCACTCACCTTCGATATCAAAAGTATCGCAATCCACCGCACTGTACGATCGCAGTACATCTAGCAAGCTCTCCGGCGATCCCATATTTCACTCTGCCTAGCGACAGTCAACAGCAGCAGTTGTTTAGTTTCAACCAATCGCTACTTATAGTATAAAGGAATGATAATTAGGAAGCACGATCTCCCCACTACATACTTGGCTATTGAATGTTTTAATACTGCCTATCCTCGGCTCAGATACTCCAGAATAAGTTTTATGCTTGCATATACGGACCAGCGATCTCGGACGAGGTGGGGGAAACGACTTTCTATAAGAAAAAAAATACCATTTGCTATTATCAGACCATTCAAATCGCGGAGATGTGTCTAGTAGAAACACGACCAGCTAGTAGTCTCAAAATGGAGCTTGATAGGACACAATTATACCTAAAGAAGACAGTCAATAGGTCATGAGCTCTTAACCCCCTCGTCATAATTATTCCTATTACCAGCAAGCTCACATATAACCAGTTAGAAGCTCGGTCGTATTAACCCCGGATTAGCTCGTCTAAACCCCTCGGCCGACATCCGCCAGTAGATCTAACGACGCCGAACCTGACGCTATTTACTAAAGCGTGACAACAGATATAATTTTAATATAGACGTTTAAGACGAGAAGGGACTACACTAAAAATAGGACATTGTGCAATGCGATGGAATGCGACCGAGCTCCCTTACGTGCAGTTTAACTATTCCGCGGCATGTAAATGCGTAGAGCACAGCGAATTCGACTCGTGGACAGTTCCAAAAGTACCCGAAGGAGAGTCCTCAAACAATATAGGGTATATAGAGCTAGTATAACTTATCACTGAGCCCAGCTGTTCCACATTCGACCAAGTGACTTTACCTTAAGGGCGTTATATAAGGTAGATCTGCATCACAATTTAGGTTGTATAGCTATAAAGAATTGTCAAGAACGCCCACTCGTGATCAAAGTAATGTAATGTAATGTAATGTAATGTAATGTTATAAGAGTCCTGGCATTGGCCTTCCTGTGACCCCTTTACTGAGACATCATCGCCAGGTATCGACGCATCCGGAAAAGGTTCCTGATATTTTCGTACTACCAAATATGAAAGACTCTCGAATGTATACCAACCGAATAAGGCTAAAACAGGGTCTACATCTTTTGTCTTCTCGTCCAGTCCATATGAGGAGTGGGTTCGATAGCCGAAAAGAATTGGAATGGAATGCGTCCGTCTGCGAAATTCTTTTCTTCTCGATGCATCGAAAAGCAGGAATGCTAGTTCAGTTCTCACACTACTAAAATAGGATACTTGGTGAGGATTTACATGGCTAAGAGAACCATCTTTGTCCTTTCTAAATAGCAATTCAACCATTTCCTCCTTCTCTCGTCACTTAACTTTTCTAATACGCCCTAAGACACGCCTTTACATTACATTGCGATACGCCAAGCTACACCAGATGTCGTGATAATAATCTCGTAATCGGTATCCATCTGTTATTCGAACGGGCAACAAGCCCCCTTCCCCTTCTTTCGTAAAGTGTGATCGTGCGTGTTGTCGCCATGCAGAGTTACACAACCACCGCCGTATATCAGCAACCATCTCAACAACCACTCCAGCCTCCAGTCCCGGAGACAGTTCCGCAGGCAGTTCCACAGGCAGTACCTCAGGCAGCACCTCAGCCAAGGGACTACTTCCAACGCACTCCGCCGGTCTTTCAGTCGAGCGGCTTGGCAGCTAAAGTGCCCTTCGAACTTCGAGCAAATCCTCTCATCGATAGGAACCATCGGGATTTTATGAGGATAGAACGATACTTCTTTACGTTACTCCGTAACACCAATCTTACTCTTCATGAGATACTCGATAATACATTTGAGCCTCACGAGATTAGCATCCTCGAGCCAGCCAGCCATCCGCCGGAACTGGTTAAGCTACAGAAAGCAAACTCCATTCGTTATCAGCAGATATTAGATACACGCTTCAATGGCAACGTCCCTACACTACAACTCAAGTTAACTTTTCTCTATTTCGGGTTACCAATTGCTCCAATGAAGCCAGGGTCGTCTCAAACGTTGGTGATTACAGACCTAGACTTTTTAGAGGACAAGATCCAGATTGCGACCGACCCTCTCGGGTTCCTAGACGAGTACGCCGAGAGAGCGTACGGCGACCCTCACAAACATGTTCCTGATCGTCATTTTCTTCAGCTTCCGCTAACACAGGAGTTTACGTCTTTACGTATCCGCCCTCAGCCATATGAGGACATATCGGCATTGAGACTACGCGGCGGCGCGTTGCCCTCGAAAATGGACTGGGAACCGGAGGGTGATGACAATTCGGATCCAGCCACCAGTTCTGTAAGGATTTTTGGATACCAAGGGTCGATTCTAGTCGAACCTGACTCCTCAGCATACGAAAGTTTTGTCGAGGCCGTAGACCAGCTCCTAGGAATGAGATACAAGTACAATTATTCCATAAGACTCCAGATATGGGACAAAAATGGCTCCGACACCAAGCCTATCACACAAGCAACAGGCATGATCTACCAGAAAAACAAGAGACCTAGCGGCGTCGGCAATATATATCCATTAGTTGAGAAACTATTCAGCCAAGACAATAATGATAGGCGGTACTGTGGTTTTGTATCCTTCGACAAGGAGGAATCTCCCGAATTCTACCAGCCATCCCAAGAAGTCGATCGATACGTTGTTCGTGTGTGGGATAATGATAGAAAGAACATGGCATATATGAAAGTTCCAAAGTCTCTACTGTCAACCCACAAACCGAATCAATTCAGCTATGAATACTTGCGTGCCATGCGGGTACTCTTCCCAAAAGCTCCTCATACGTATTTCAGGTTCTCAACGAGCGGTGCGGAATTAACGTATGGACTACTCGACCCACCTCCTGTAGCCTGGGATTCTGTTATCGAACAGCATAAGAAGGACAAATTACCTCTTCTAGCTTTTGGCAGAATTGAGGTACCAGATGATGCCGTGCCTGTTTTCATACCGGGGTTCCACTCCTACGACACCGACTTTTCGGGCAGATTACCGGTAACCTCCTTAAGCAGAGACGATCTTAAATTAGACGGAGGGGATAGCGACACGGTTGGGCTATCGAAGCTGATTAGCGCGGTGAATGCCGCCAACCCATTCGCGATCAGCCACAAGAAAAAGATCGGCCTCGAAGTCTGGATTCCGGGAGATGGATTCTTAAACTCCTCGATTTCCGGCCGGTTCATCAATTTCGTGAGTACCGAGATCAATGAGCAGACAATATATAACTGGAAGACTGCCGTGCGCATATATCAAGGGCCAAGAATCCATGCCGAACCTGGAAAGATAAGCATCGTAGCTCGACCCGTGTTCAGCACTTATACAATTAGTGCGAAGAACGATGCCAAACGCCATTTCTCAGTCGATCTCAATGATATAAAACTATCAGAGTTTAAGGAAGAGGTCAAGTCTAAGCTATTCCCCAGATATCAAGCAACGTCGAAGAATCTAGTTCTACATCTAGTGCAGTCAACTTGGTCAACCAACAAGATCGACTTCGCCGTCAGTGTAGATACTGACGAGGACGGGTGGAGATGGATTGTGAGACATATCACCGAACCGGACATAACCATATCCCTTGAGTATTGGGTCAACGACTGGGGTGAGTTTCCAATAGGTCATCTTCGAGAATAACAATAGCTAACATACAAAATAAAAGACATAGAAAAGGTATCGACATGGGGACCACGCTACGACACTACAGAGCCCTTCACGCTAACGTCGCATTTCGATTCGATGAACAAATATTTTGCGCCGTATGACCCGCCAGTACAGCGATTGTTTAAAGGGTCAAAAAACAATTTAGATGGTGCCGCGAGGGCACAGAGGCTAAGAGAAAGGCTGTTCTGGGATAGCACAAGCATGTTCGCCAGTCCGACTAAGCCCGCATTACCGCTTCAAGGCCCGCCTATCGAGACTCTCATCAGGACGGGACCCAACGTGCCGGCGTTTACCACCGCGATGCGGACTCCTAGTGAAGTAGCCCGACTCGAAAGAGAAGTTCACACGCTACGGGGAAATATTCTCGACAGAGTTAGGGAGTGCCCTTATAAAGACTGCGGGCAGGTTTTCCGCTTCCAAGATGGGAGTGAGCTCGATCGACACTTGCGAGAGGATCATACTACTCTCCAGTGTTTCCTATGCGACAAAGAAAAACACCTACTCCGGTTCTATGATACCCAAAGTATAAGACAGCACTTTCTTGACAAACACTATAATAGCATTAAGGGGGAGCTTCTCGAAGTCTCTGGGGGCCAGAAGCACGATACAGTGGAACACAGACATTGCAACCGATGCGGGCGTGATCAGACCGTCTTGAACAACCCAGCCGATCAAGCATACCATGCTAGTGTATGCAGGGTTGGCCCGCGCAACCATGCGGTATTCTGCGGGTTCTGTGGACGTACCAAGGAAAACGTGTCGGAAGCATGCGAATGCGCCAAGTTTATGGACGAGGAGTCGGCGGAAGACGATACAGTAAACTGCATAACTTGCGGTATCGAATACGATTCGACCATGAGTCGGTCTTACCGCGACCAACACCGCTACCACTGTAGGCTACCTGGTGGCAGACCAACCGATTACTGTCCCGGCTGCGGTATAGGTCTCGCCGACAAGAACGAGGGTGAAAAGTCGTCGCATATGTCTACATGCACCAGATCACCACTGCCACACGACAAACCTACTTATCCCTCGGGTCATGAAGTGCCTCCAGACACCCCTTCTAAATTTTCCGATGCTTTCACCCCTCCTCCTGACGACAGTAAAATCGATCCTCCCCCTAAGATTGAGACAAAGAAGCCTATTCCGAGCGAACCTGAACGGCTTAAACAAAACACCCGTCCCAGCCCGCACCAGGATGCTGTTGATGCTGTTGATGCTGTTGATGCTGTTGATTCTGCGCCATCGGAAAATATAGGAGATCTTCTTGACGCCCTAGGTCAAAACGAGCCTTCTATCGAGCCTTCTATTGAGCCCAAATCAGCGGAACCGACCTTACCATGGAGAGAAGCAACAACATCGGACCCACTCCCACCTCGTCGATCCCGTTCTCCTCCGTGGGATGAATTTCTCGAACCGCAGTCGGGACCCCGGGCGTTCTATCCGGAAGCCGACTGGAGATGTTCCCGATGCTTCAGGGCTGCAGGAAAAAGCATGGATCAAATAGAGGTAAGTACACGCCCCGACGCACCTGAGATTGGCGCGGTATAAACTCACACTGAAATCGTGATAGATGCACATGCACGAGAAAGGGTCTTGTAGAATCCGTCGCACCTTGGGCACGACAAAATACGGCTCCATGCCTAACCGTAGCGGATGGATCCTCCCCGACGAGAAATTTGACTTTAGGGAGGCATATTACAAGTTTGTCAAAGAATATCCGGCATACAAATACACCATGTTCCCGGTGCGCGAAGAGAGTATCAAGTCGGTCTGGGAAGACCCCTACACCCTAGAAAAGGCGACCGGTTCCATTGAAGACGACCCGAACCACAGAGGGCCGAAGTACATGGAGGCTCGGAGCGACGAGCTACCTTGGCCGCCGTATAAGGGCCAGACAATACCATTAAACGAACCGGAACCAAATTCACCAAAAGTTAAGAGCTTCGTACCCGCAGACAACGAGAAATTAGGAGAAGCAAACAAAGACGGTAGTAAAGGCACCGAAGGGCTTGACGACGAAAACCTAGCCGATCCGGAAGAGCTAGATAGTAACTCTAAGGTCACGACCCCACCCGAGCACAACATCCTGGTGTCGACGGAAGAAGATGACAGCAGCCCAGTAACCTCTTCAAGTGAATCAGATAGATCAGACAGGTCAGAGCAGTCAGAGGAATTAGACGAGGAGTACGATCCGACCAAGCAACCGGCTGAGACAGGGGACGAACTGGAGGAGGAATATTCGGAGAAAAGCGCCGTGGAAGACCCTATTCAAGAACTGGAAACAGTTTCGCCCGAGAAGTCTAAGAAGCGTCCCACACCTGCAACACCGCCATTCGATGCTGAGGACCGTACATCATGGTCGTCTGTTAAAAGGCGTACCGGACCATCGCCTCCAAAGGCTAAACCCGAACATGTTCCCGTTAATCTTGACCCGCCTTCGCCCCATGGGATTGACTATGTTCCGTGGATCACCCCGCAACAGATCGATTCTTCTCGGCCGGAAAATAAACGTATTCACTTACCCGAATGGGATCCCGTCATTTCGGTCCCCCCTATCTGGAAGGAGATGGACGAGCTTGCCCGAACGTTTGGACGGGGTTCCCAGCCGCCGCTTATGAAACCATATATATCCAGTGTGTCACATTTTAAGCGATCTGCATCCGGGCCACCTTCAGCCAAGCCCCAGACCCGGGGGAGAGATTCCTTTAGCAAGGGAAGGAAATAAAGAGGTAGATGCAATTTATCATCCAGCAGGAGGAGGCGAAATGGAATTGAGCTGGAGATGCGCGTGTTGATTAGAGAGAATGGGATGTACAAGAATAGAAGCGCACTCGATCATTATGGCTTGGATTTACAGCTTGGATTTCCTTTTTGTCTTTGAGAAGGGGGGTTTAGCCGAACCCAGAGTAGCTAACTACCTATCTTCCTCTCAGTTTATAGTTAGCCCTTCGATAGCAAATGTGTCAATGAGTAGGTAGTATTCTGATTCGCAGGTTGTCTTTGCGTGGTATCTCCGCGTAATATGTTATTCGGTACCGTTTACGTGGACTCTCTTCTCAATAGAGTGGTGTTTAGACTCGAATTTCCATATTGCTACCTAAATAGATCATATATTGTGCTATTCGCTAGCAACTCGATATCTAACTTCTTAAATCGTATATCAAATCGTCTAAAAGACAAATGCTACTTATTTCAAGGACATCGATCTACAAGCTTCGCCAGAGCGATGAGAGCGACGGCACCACTACAACATCACGCAACTCATTAACCTTAGCAAATACTTGCGGTTGCATTTTAGCACGATAGTTCTTAGGTAAAATAGTAAAACAGTGCATCTCTCTTTTCGATTCAACACGCCACGTTATCAACGTTATTGGTCTATATGACCCCGGCCTGATCCCCGATGTCCAACCTTGAATTGGTATCATGTTTTGAAAAAAAGGAAAACGAGAATGCATTCGCGTAGCCTAGAGCATTTCCTACTAGCCTTAGAAAATAGACAAAGTAAAATAGAATGACCACTTCCAACTTGCAAGTTATGTAAAAGGTAGGTAGTTAATGGTAGACATGCCTCATTCGCAACAAAGAGGCGTTTATGCACAAATCCCTTCTGCCGTAGCTAAGATTGATTATGATGATGCGGCGGTGGGCACCGTCGCGCTAAGAGACGTACGTTATTAACGAGGCCGTCGACTAGATCTTCGTATTTATTCGGTTTCCTTTGCATGAGCATACGTCCATGCTCAATTAGATGACGCGCCTCCAATTCCACCTCGAGCTCGTGCTCCTTTGCAGCACCAGCAGGCGCTTGGCAGGGTTGGCTACCTGAGGTCGCGGGTCCCTGCTTCACCTGCGTTAAATCGACCTGGTAGAATCCGTGCTTATAACTGAGTCGATCCTTAATGCGATCCGGGGGTCGCTCCTTGTTGGGGTTCTGGCCACGTTCGATCTCTTCTACCGGGCCGTCCCAGTCCCATTCTAGATTGATACTTATACGGCAATCTAGGGGTAAGTGAGGGAAATGTATGTTTAAATCGGCAATTCGAGCCTTGACGATCTTGGCTAAAACATTGTTGGCATTCTGTTCGTGGGTGGTGACGCGAGCTTTTATGGGCGCGTTTTGCTGCAGCAGGCCAGAAATGCAGGCTGGTACACGTTGACGCATATGGGGCGCGAGTTCGTAAAATCGATCAACCTCTCGACGATGTACGTAGTGTACTTGCACGCGAGAGGCTGCAGTATGGCTACGAGGGAAAGAGGACTTCACCTGCTCGTTCAAGAATTCATTGAGCTCGCGATGCTGGTTCTATCGAAGGGGTTAATTAACAGGCCAACAAGATTAGACAAGCAAGAAACCAACTTACCTCGGTCATGGAGCTGCGAAATGCAACCCTAGTGCCGTCTAGCACACACTCACCGGCCCTTATTCCAGGAAAGTAGATGCGGTCATTGGTCATCTTGTCGATGATAGTACCGAGCTTGGCTTCGATCTCGAATACCGCGCCCCGGCTATGGATTTCTTCGAGATGGGGGAATTGAAGCACGTTGATGCCTAAAAAGTCAGCAACCTCGCGACATACGATATTCTTTGGTGTCTCATTCCCAATGCTAGGCTCCCAAGGGAACGGTTGGCCATTGAATGTAAAGGGGTCCTTAGCAACCGCAGGGGTAGGCTCATCTGCTTTAACCCCAGCTACAGATCGTACTGTTTCGGGTGAGGCGTGTCGAGAAATATGATCTGACTTCACGTGTCCCCCGGCATCGTGTTGATTGTTTCCGTTGGCTAGCCCGGGCGCGTTGGTCTGTTGGCGAATGTAATGTTTTAGAGCAAAATTACGACTCGTTACTTTGGGTTGATCGCGGTCTCTACCATTCTGCGCCCAGATCGGCGGCCTGTCGTGTCGGACACGTTTTCGATGCGGCGTCATGGGAGATACTGACGGCTGCACTACAGCAGCTAGCGAGACAGCACGGTTACCATTTAGCTGAGGAGGCGGCGGAGCCTTCCGGCCGTTCTCAAGCTCGTCGGGTCCGAGGTCTCTATGCTCTAGTTTTCGTTTCGCAGGAGCGCCGGCGTGTTGAGGTTCCATGATACTATTAACGATAGGAGCTTGTGGAGGACGTTGGGGATTGTAAGGATTTACGTCGCTGCTAGTAGAAGAAGGGCGATGGCCACCGTTGCTGGGTAGACTAGGAACACGTGTTTTAGGTGAGACACTGACGCTTCTATCACGTTCACTCCGAGACTGTGACCCGCGGTGTTCGGCAACAACGTCGTAGGTGTTGTGACTGCTGCCACTTGACATTCGTTGGATAGGAGCCGGAGGCGGCGGTTTAGGCGACGTCTGCACCGGCTGAGGAGGGTAGGCAGCAGAAACAGTAGAGGCCCTTTTTTGGTACGGACTGGGAGGCTGCTTATAACTTACGGCAGGCGATAGTCGCGGAGGCAATGGTTGCCCCAGAGGTGTTAGAGGTTGGGATGGTTGGCGTTGGTGTTGGTCAATGAGAAGCGGATGAGGATGTATAGTCGCAACAGGACTGCCTTGAATATAAGGGGGCCCATATGGAGCCGATTGGCTATGCGCAGACGTGGGCGTAGGAGTGGATTGGATCGAATGGGATCTTTGATGTAAATATTGAGAACTACCACCGGGCGTACCTACAGGAGGTGTTTGTGGCAGTGGCTGCGCTTGTTGCTGGCCGTGTGCGTAAGAAATGGAACCGTGTTGTGGTTGGGGATTGTTGTAACTATCACGAGAATAAGCACCCACAGGTGCACTCGGACCAACACCCGGACCAACGCTAGCACTCGGTGGGCCGTATTGGTGTCTTTGCACAGGGCTCACGGGTGGCTGCTGCGTTGGAGGGAACGGATAACCTCCGCTTACAGTACTAACGGACGAGGTAGGTGTTCGTCGATAAGGCGACGGTCCCGATATTGAAGTGCTCCCTGGTGACCGTAAATCGTGAGAGCCCGGTGGCTGGAGCGGAGGAACAGGTGGCCTGGCGGCAAACGCGTTCGTCGGGGGGTTATATGAGGTTGGGGATTGGTACGGGCCAGTAGAACTCGGAGTACGGCTTGGAAGATGAGGAGGGCCGGGAGGAGGATATTCGTGGGGATGTTGGCCTGGCGAGGCGCGAGTTGAGTGGCCGTAGTCTCTAAATGACTGAGGGTGTGGACTAGCTTGAGCTGGCGTCGAGGGCGCAACGGAATTCGAGTTCGAGATCGGGTTCGGGGTCGATATAACAGACGGCGATGTTTGTAAAGATGTTTGTAAAGATGGTTGTTGAGGTTGCTGTTTTTTTAATGCGCCTCCGTCTGGTCCGTTTAGTACGTCGCGTAGATCCATCTTCGCGATGTTCGCTGTTTGCTCTCTCGATGATAATCTTCCTTGTTGGTTTTGCTTTCGTCTCTTCTTTTTCTTCGTCGCACACTTTTCTTTTTCCTACACCGGACGATCGAGTTCGCAACACATATACATATACACTTATACCACTTACACACGCATGCAGCCGATAATATGTGCGCGCGCTATCTGGGCCTCTCCTCTCTCCTCTCTCCTATCTCTTTTCTAACTCTTTAGCTCTCTTCTTCTCTGTCGCGCGCGCGCACACAATTACTCCTCGCTCGTACTCAAGCCGGCGTGCTCTAGCGTTATCGATACATTCAGGTGACAATATTCGATTATTTCGGACGAGGCAATCAATGCGACGGAATGTCGATGATAGCCTTGTATATGTTATGTAGCATGTAAAAGTCGGTGGATGGTGCAAACGGAGGAGATGTCGGTTTATCGGTTTATCGGGTTGGGTTGGATGTCCGCGCTTTGGAGCCAATATCGCGAGAAAAAAAATAGAATATCAATTTTGCATTTCCACCCTCTAATCGGATCTACCCCCCTCAGATAATAACAATTACCCTATGTTGCTAAATAGATATTATAAGAATTATGCGCAACAATCGACGGCGGTGATAGAATTGACTGATGGGTATTATTCCTAGTTGTACAAAATTGGTCGAATTATAACAAAGATTAGTTCCAGGGATGAATGCGAAAGCGTGCGTGACATGATGAATCGATCAATTAGTACAAATGCATGTAGAGCTTTGATTTTTTTTTTTTTATATTATGTACCTAACTATATTTTTTTATTCTCTTATCCTTGCATTAGGTGTTCAAAGTACAAGTACCTAGAATGTGGTATTACAAGTAGTGTATATCTAAGTACCTAATACTAATAAGAGCCAACATAAAATACATGTACCTAAGGAAGTTTATATGTCATATGACTAACAGTACCGGCTCTTTCCATAGCGATAAAAGAAAGAAGCGTTGGATATATCTACATGTAGTCTCGAGGAATGATTCGTCTTAAAGGATAGGTACCTACCTATGTATCCAAACTCCTAACTGACGAGTTCTTTAGCTTTGAAAGTCCGAATTTGATCGAATTGGACCCTAAGTACGTAGGACGTACCTAACATTCAAAGGGAACGGAGTTCTTGTTTGAGACTCTTACCCCCTTCGAAGACACGCCATTGTCTAATTGGCTAGCTCTATTAAGTACCTAACCTAGGTTAGGTTCTTAAGAGCCACTTGCGGCTTATCTCCTGGGGCTGGTATACTTGATGTTACCTAAGGTATAGGTAGTACAATACCTGAGGTAATATTAGGTAATCTTCAGGTTGCCAAGGCAGGCAGGCAGAGCTGCGCCTGACGTGGACGTTAAAGCTTAGTCAATGCCAAGTACATACGTTGTAAGGTTCGCGCGTCGACCAGTGTTTCGCTTCTATCTAAGCTTTGCATCCGTTACATCAAAATCCATTCGAAATAACTTCACAACTACATAACCTCTTAAATAATACACCACACAAAAATAGTACAGCATCACACCAGTCGCATTGCACAGCACGGCGGACGTAACCGCCGGTACAATCCTGTAATCGGCCTAGTTTTGTTCCGTATATTCTCTTATTTTCTCCCATTTCCAACCGCCGAAAACAGTCGTCTGGTAAACGTCTCTCATACCTTACCAAGTATACACGACCGATTTCAAGATGCCTGGTTTGGTCACGGCTACTGGCGTGCTAGCGTTCCTAGCCGACGAGGAGCCCGAGCTTAAGGTGTTCGCGCTGCAGACCCTCAACGACGATATAGACACTGTTTGGTTCGAGGTCGCCAGCGCTCTAGGCCAGATGTAAGCAAACTTTTGCATATTATCCAATATCCTTCTTCGTATAGTCAGATTCTAACCAGCTGGGGTCTTAGCGAGGCTCTCTACGAGGATGAATCCTTTCCCGAACGCAAGCTGGCCGCCCTCGTTCTCGCCAAGGTCTACTACCACCTTCAAGCCTACGATGAGAGCATGTTTTTCGCCCTAGCCGCGGGTGAGCTATTCAAGCTCGATAACCCCGGAGAGTTTGAGGAAACCATCATCTCTAAATGTGTTGACCATTACATCGCTACCAAGAATGGGAACCACATCGTCGTCAGCAAGAAGGATGGAGACGCTTCTCTGCCTGCCCTCGCTACAGCTTTTTCGAGTACTACCTCTGACGGCAACGCTTCCGCCCTCATCTCACCCACGACTCCCTTCTCCCAGTCCACCCTGCCGTCTAAGTCCCTTTTGTCTCGCGCTTCGACCGACAATGCAATTCTCGAGCCTTCCTTCGAACCCCAGAAAAAGCAGCACCGGTCGTCCTCTATCGCCTTGACCCATAACGAACTTGACACCCGACGTGCCATTGACAGCGTTATAGAGCGATTGTTCGAGAGCTGCTTGAGAGAGAAGCGTTACCAGCAAGTTGTAGGTATCGCTGTCGAAGCGAAGCGGCTCGATGTGGTCAGCAAGGTTATCCAACGCGCAGACGATGATTATAAGCGCAACAAGGGCAAATCCACGCAGGAAGACGCCATGGGCCCTGCCGAGGAGCTTCTCGATTATTGCTTAAATATATGCATGGACGTTGTGCAGGAGCGAGCTTTCCGGGATGACATCTTACAGCTTATCCTCGATATTCTCACTAGCGGCCGGGCTAAAGATCCAGACTACTTCTCCATCGCTAAGTGTATTGTCTATCTTAACAAGGACGAGCAGGCCCGCACAGTCATACAGCATCTCGTCAAAAGTGAGACTGTCGAGGCTATCGCCATAGCTTACCAATTTGCTTTCGACCTATACGACAACGGCACGCAGGAGTTTCTGGGCAAGGTCATCTCAGGCTTACCCAAGGGCGAGCCACCTGCCGAGAAAAAAGAGGACGAGCCCACGGGCGAATCCGAGAGAGAACCCTTACTTGGCGAATCCGATGTAGGAGAAGTCGATGAGAAGAAGGCCGCGATATACAAAAACATCCGCTCCATTCTTGATGGCACTAAAACCATCAAGCTTAATCTTGAATTCCTCTACCGCAACAACCGTACTGACCTGAGTATCCTCAACAAGGTTCGAGACAGTCTAGAGGGTCGACATTCCATCTTCCACACAGCTGTCACTTTCTGCAATGCCTTTATGAACCAAGGCACGACCAACGACAAGTTCTTCCGAGATAACTTGGAGTGGCTAGGTAAGGCGGTGAACTGGTCCAAGTTCACCGCCACTGCGGCTTTAGGTGTTATCCACCGCGGGAACCTGTCGCAATCTAGGAAGCTCCTAGAGCCTTATCTCCCCCGGGGTGCCGGTGGTATTAGTGGCGGCTCTCCTTATTCGCAGGGTGGAGCCCTCTATGCGTATGGTCTTATCCACGCGAATCACGGTGCTGACGCCTTGGACTACCTTAAGACCCAGTTTGTTGCTGCCGAGGAAGAGGTCATCCAGCATGGTGGCGCCCTAGGTCTTGGTCTCGCTGGCATGGCTAGCGGAAACGAGGAGATCTTCGAGAATCTCAAGGCTGTTCTTTACGCCGACTCTGCTCTGAATGGTGAGGCTGTCGGTCTTGCGATGGGTCTGATCATGCTGGGTACTGGAAACGTAAAGGCCCTGGAAGATATGGTTGCCTACGCGCACGAAACATCCCACGAGAAGAGTGTGCGAGGTTTGGCTCTGGGTATGGCCTTGATCATGTATGGCCAGCAAGAGGGTGCGGACGTCATGATTGAAGGTCTTCTGATGGATCCGGATCCATCGTTGCGATACGGTGGTATTATGACTGTGGCAATGGCTTACTGCGGCACCGGCAGCAACAAGGCGATTCGGAAGCTGCTGCACGTCGCCGTCAGTGATGTCAACGATGATGTTCGGCGAATTGCAGTCATGAGCTTGGGTTTCATCCTGTTCCGCAAGCCGGGAAGCGTGCCTCGCATGGTCGAGCTCCTCTCCGAATCATACAACCCCCACGTGCGTTATGGCTCCGCGATGGCGCTCGGTATCTCATGCGCAGGAACAGGACTCGACGAGGCTATCGACCTTCTAGAGCCTATGATGAAGGATCCTACCGACTTCGTCAGGCAAGGTGCTCTGATTGCGTTGGCCATGATCATGATCCAACAGAACGAAGTGATGAACCCCAAGGTTGCGTCGATCCGCAAGATACTAAAGAAGGTCGTCGGCGACCGCCACGAAGATGCGATGACCAAATTCGGCGCGGCCCTCGCTCTAGGTATTATCGACGCCGGTGGGCGTAATTGCACAATTGGCCTACAGACCCAGACGGGCAATCTGAACATGGCCGGCATTGTCGGTATGGCCGTGTTCACGCAGTACTGGTACTGGTTCCCCTTCACTCATTTCTTGTCTCTGGCCTTCAGTCCAACCTCGATCATCGCTCTCGATCACGAGTTGGATATCATCGACGTCAAGTTTCACTGCGCTACCAAACCAAGCCTGTTCGACTACCCACCAGAGCAGGAGGTCAAGGCGGAAGAGGGACCGGCCATGATTGCCACCGCCATTCTCTCCACCACTGCCCAGGCCAAACGCCGAGCCCAGAAGAAAGAGAAGGCGCAGAGACGAGAAAGCATGGATATCGACTCCACTGCTACTCCGACCACTTCTAAGTCAGGTGCCACCGGTGATAAAATGGAGGTCGACACGAAGACCAAGCAAGGTGAAGACACTAAAGACAAGAAAGAGGGGGATACCCCTGCGCCAGGAGACAAGGAAGGATCAACGCCTCCTGCGGATATCAGGAAAAGGGCGGAGAAAGAGAAGCCGGGCTACGATATTGAGAATATGAGCCGCGTCTTACCCGCGCAGCTCAAGTACATCAGCCTCGCTAAAGGTCGTTACTGGCCCGTCAAATTAGTGAGGCCTGGTCCATTGGTAAGATGATCAGGCAACTTTTGTTTGCTTCATAATGCTAACCTTGAATACAGCCTACCGGCGGTCCTATACTATTACACGACACGCAGCCCGACAAGGAAAAGGCGCTTATCGAAGAAAAACTCAAGAAGGTAGCAACAGAGAAGGCCCCTGTCGCCGGTGCTGGTTCGCGCAACCCACGATCCGTGGAGGAGGCGCTCCTCAGCCGGCTTGGACGAGACCAACTCACTACTCCAAGCCGGAACATGACTGGCGCCGCTGCCGCTGCCGGTGTACTGACTGCTATCGATGAGGATGGCGAAGGAGACGAAGAAGCGCAACCTCCTCACGATTTTGAGTACTATACCGACGAAGAGGAGGATGACTAGGCGACGCTTTTAAGATAACGGCAGCCGTGTGAACATGTATCTTAATTGTAACATAGATGATCCAGTCCCGCGCAATAATTATCTTGGCGTCCTAAGCCTAAGAGTACTACTAAATATTCTGATCTGCAGCTCTAATCGAGCTAGTACGTCGACATCTATTACATGAGCCCGACTATTATAGGCAAATTGCATCATCTCTACACTAGATACTAACTACGCACTCTAGTAGTTAGAGTGCATACCAAGAGGGTTTACTTGAGTCTCATCTAATCGAATAATTTCTCATGTAGGTTCTCGCTATGCCTAGTTCTCTTATATGATATAAGAGATCTCTCTCGAATTTAGCAACTTTCCGCCCCCTTTTATAAATATGGATGACCCCGTTCAGAGTCATACATGTTCCTCCGTTATTATTAACCGGCCTTAATCACTTTACGAATTTCAGAAGCATATAGGTACCCGTGTCATTGATTCTTATATTCGTACACGCTACTAATCAACAAAGCACCCCTTACATCCCATCGGCAAGCATAGCATTAACCAGTTGAACATGGCGGTCCCCGTTTGTCTCGCTCCACTCGCTCTCGTAGTTTAGACCGTAAGGCCAAAAGTGGCCGCCACCACAGCTTATCTTAGCATTAGAACCATCCCACGACCGAAGCAGCGGCGTCGCTTTCGGCCAGTTGTTAGCCGCGCAGTGCTGATCGAAAGCAGCCGTCTGTCCGACTCCAAGCGTGTGAGCTATCTCGTGCATCGCCGTGCGCTCGGTCATGTAGGACCTGTCGGAGCCGAATCGAAGGTCTCCGTTATAGTTGGCTTCGGCCGTGGGTACGCCGGGAGAATAATAAACTCGGATAGTTTTGCTGGCGCTCGTGAAGCGGGAGTATCGCGCAACAGCAAGCTTCATGGCAGATTCGATGCGAGTATACGCCTCTGATTGGTCCGCCGTCGGGTTGGAGGCTTTCTGCAGCGTCCATGTTATCGCTCCCGACACGGCGGAGGCGTAGGTCAGCGTTGCGGCAAGGATAGAGAAACGCATGACGGATGGCGATCTTGTAGTGCTGATGATATCGATGGGATTTGTGTAAATCAGTTCGGAAACGATCTACACCAAAAGTCTGGCAGTTTACATCTATATAACAGTTTCATCTTCCCCTGTCGATCCCCACGAATATATTGCTCTTAATATAGCATTGTCTTGTTCCTCGATGTGCTCTTCGTGGATTAATAGCCGGTGGGCGTTCTGATAAATACAAAGAAGCTCATATGGTAGTATCAAGCCGCGGAATAATATCCAGTTCATCCACTTAATATCACTACCTTCCTAGGGTCCTTATGATTCTCGGACGGTTGCCCTCCGATAGAAATCATATTAAAACAAACCTCGAGATCTTGGCATCGCGGGCTAGAAGCCGCTCTTATCATGGTTCCTTGGCACGCATATGCCTTCTTTTACAAATGTAACATATTATAATAGTTAAGTGAAATAAGTCCAGAGGCTAAGATCTATCCACATCAACCATAGCTACCTGAAGTTTCAGATTGTTGGTATGGATCTCACTAGCTTAGGTATAAACTAAACATAACTATAAGGTCTAAAACCGCCATGCTAATACTAAGCGTTTGTTTAATATTTTACCGTGTTATTAACCTTGGAACCCTTGAGTATAGATACTTATCAAATCTTAAACATACTTGTATATCTTTATCCATAGTAGATTTAACACTATTTCGAGCAAGAAGGGACATGTTGCCGATAGTCTAATTATATTGTCATGTGATTCATTCCACTTATATGAAATGAGAATATCCGTAAGCTCTTACTAACAATTGAGGGAAAGTAGACCTTATAAATACTGTAATAAGCCGGCTACTGACTCGGGACCGACATATCATAGATCCCGAATGCCGTCGTGAGACCATCAGGCCGTCGGGACTCGGAAGGAAGCGAGACGGAAGGCGTAGGTAGCTGTATATATAGGTAGGTAATGGTCAGGTACCTCACATTAGCGCTATGACCTGACCAATTAGGGCTGATAATACGTCGCTAGCAGGTTTTCAGCCCTGCTAGATACAAGTGCAACAGGGGCAACAGGGGATTTCTAGCGGTGAACGACTTCCACTAATATTCTTCGAACCTTCTTCTCCTTGTGCCATGCCATCCATCCATCATCCAACCATTCGTCATCCATCCAATCCTAAGCTAACAACCTATAATCTTCAGCCGACCTTTTCTTTCAACCGTGTGTCGCTCGTAAAGTAGCATCAATTATCGGTGAGTACCAAGGTAAGTGAAGACTGAAATAAAGCAAGCGTTTACAAGCATATAGAGACGTAGTTCGTCTTTCATTTTGTCCGAAAAGCTGCGAGATCGGACTTGATTGGATTTGTGGTAGGCTTCGTCTTCTATCGGTTGTTTGCCCAACAATTCATCTTCGCTTTTCCGTCCGGCTCGCAATGTTTACAACTCGTCGTCTGCCGATATATCTCCCTTTTCTCACTTACATCGGTCAGCGCCTTATACAAAATCACGGTCTGGCGGCCACCGGCAGCCGAAATATCATTGATTCCGGAGGGTTTCTATTTTCTTGACTCACGTCTATAAAAATTTTATACAAGATTTAGTCCTATTCGCGTTTTGTTATTCTCTCCTTTCCTTTCTCCTTTAAGGCTATGATTGGATTTATATTGCACTATATTTATTATTCATCGAGGTAGTTCCTCCTAAGCACGTTCGCCATCTTTTCTTACTTTGGTGTTTGTGTTTGCTTTTCTACACGTAGTCAATGCACAACGTTTAAATTTTGTTAGAGCGGAGAGAAGTTCCGTGCTTCGTCGCCTTGACGGACCCACGAGTTGAGGAATCGCCTCTTTAAACCCAACTGAAGCTACGTGGCTTGTCTGCATCACGCTGCTATGGACACAGCACTGGTATATCCTGATTCAACTTCACCTTAGGGTAAGACTCATAAGGTCTCTAACTTACATCATGTCGATACCAACCACACGGCAATTTGGTCTAGAACTGTTCAGAGCAGCAAGACAATATCGACCAGCTCTCCAGTATCTTCAAAACCCCGAGATTCGACAACCAGCCAATTCCTGTGCTAGATTCTTTAGCTTCCAATCCGCTTTTCGAACTGCGTCATTCAAGGCGGCGCCGAAACTGCCTCCTAATGCTCGTCGTCTACGTCCCTTCCGCGTCCTCGTTGCAGGCGGTGGATTCCTCGCCATCCTCTTCTCCGTCCTCCAACCTGTTTCCCACGAGCCTCTTGAGGTACCCCGAGACGTAGGCCCACCTCCCGACTCGGCTTCTAGCGACGATGACGACGGTTTGCCACGCTATAGGCTTTCAGAGGTCAAAGAGCATGGGCCAAAATCAGAAAGGCCTTGGGTGATATACGAGGACAAGGTATACGACATAACAGATTGGGTCCCTGCCCATCCTGGTGGTAAGGTTATCCTCCGTGCCGCTGGTGGTAGCATCGAACCGTACTGGAACATCTTTTCTATTCACAAGTCGCCGTACGTCCGCGAGATTCTTGAACAGTATATAGTTGGAAAGGTGCATCCGGATGACCTTGAGAATGGAAGACCGCTGCAGGACCACATCGAAGATCCGTTTATGGCCGACCCGGTCAGGGACGCAAAGCTGATGAAGCTAACGCAGAAGCCGTGTAACGCGGAAACCCCTGGGAATGAATTAGCAGAACATTTTTTCACTCCTAACGAGGTTTTCTACGTCCGTAATCACATGTGGGTTCCCGTCGTGGAAAATGCCGATGCCGATGATCATAGTATCACCGTTGAACTACCCGATGGTGACATTAAAACCTACAGCATCAAGGATCTCAAGGCTCGTTTTAAGCAGCATACCGTAACGGCCGTTTTGCAATGCTCTGGGAACCGACGTAGTGATATGACCCGCTATGCGAAGAAAACAAATGGTCTACAATGGACGGTCGGCGCTATCAGCTGCGCAAAATGGGAAGGTGTGCGACTACGAGACGTTCTCGCCGACGCCGGCCTGTCTCTCGAAGACCCGGGAGAGGATGCCCAACACGTCCAATTCTCAGGACTAGAAGCATACGGCGCCAGCATCCCTATCGCGCCGGTCCTTGATCCCATGGGAGACGTACTCCTCGCGTTCAAGATGAACGATGCCCCCCTTCCACGCGACCACGGCTTTCCGGTTAGGGTGATTGTTCCAGGTCATGTAGCGGCCAGGTGCGTCAAGTGGGTAAACAAGATCGTGGTGAGCGACGAAGAGAGCAATACGACATGGCAACGCCGGGATTACAAGTGCTTCGGACCAAACGAAGTCAAGCAGGATTGGGACAAGTACAAGGCTATCCAAGTGATGCCCATTACAAGCGCGATCACGCGGACGATATTAAAGCCTTCAGAAGAGATACCGGGCGAAAATACCGGGGAGTCAGCCAAGAGATCTGTTGTTCAGATCGAAGGGTACGCCTATTCGGGTGGTGGGCGAGAGATCCAGCGTGTCGATATAAGTCTTGATGGTGGGGAGACGTGGGATCAAGCACAGCTGATTGACGACACCAAACTCGAAAAGGGAAGTAAAGCATGGTGTTGGAAGAGGTGGCGGTACGAGGCCGGACTGTCCGAAGTTTCGAAAGGCTCGAAGGGTGCGTCGAGAACTACCTTCGTCGTCAAAGCCACAGATGACGCATACAATACTCAACCCCAGACCCACAAGAGCATATATAATATACGTGGTAACTTGGCTACAGCATGGCATCGTGTAGATCTCGACTACGCCACCGCCCCCAAGGATAGAGAAAATGTCAGGTAACGTTAGGGGTAACGAATGAATATCACCTGGCCCCATGGTAGGAGAAGGTGGGCCCGTTGGCCAAGGTTCACTTGTTTTATACTAACGGTGTAATAAGCTTTGGTGTTCAGGTCTTATGAACCGATGCGGTTCAGCTCGACTTTGGAAAATGGGAGTTCTTGGTTGATACGACTCGGAAATGCAATGCAAAACTTGCCTAGCATTAGACTGATTTAATAGCTAACAGGTAATATTTTATGTAGATTCACATTTAGATGAAGTCCATGTTTGATCAGAACCGTGTTTATTAGTGGTATATTTAAAAATGGTATGTTATCATTATCGTTTCCTCAATACAATCTCCACGCCAACAAAACGCCTACCAAATGCTCGAGTTTACATCCCTATTCTAGGTACGCGAGGTGGGTGAAACAGTGACATATTACTGATAGAGAAGCGAGACCTATTTATGTATAACCAGAAAGGGAATTCAAAATCGTAGTAGCTAGAGCGATTATGCGCCAGGCTGCGCGTGCGGCTTACTGACGTTGTGACCACGGCTGCGGAGAGAGTCGATGGCATCGATGACAGTAAGAAAGGTGAAAAGAGCCCTGTTTAGTATAATAGTTAGTTATTTCTTTTTCTTGTGAGAGCTAATAATAAGGGTACCCGAAGTCAGAAACGTACCAAAGGAAGAAGCCAAAAGCAACAGCGGCCTCGGCGGAACCACAAAACGAGTCCGATCCGCATTTGTAGGGCCCGCCGACGAAGACGGCGAGTGCGATTGAGCCGGCGAACCAGAAAATAGTGGTGATGGCATTAAGGGCGAGGGCTGCCAACCGGTGGAAGACGCTCGTCAGATATAGCGGCGTTATACCCACGTATATCAATACTAATAACGTCCATACTGAGTTAAATATCATGAAATTGACGCGCGACGGTGAGTAGCCGCCGAAGCCAAACCAGCTATCATACCGACTGGCCACTATCAAATACGAGAAGTTAGCAATTCCATGATTATTGATTCTAATTTTCTTTGCCTTCTTTATGTCAGGCTAGATACAGTTTAGTCAGGTGAGTCAGGTGCAAATAACATACAATATGCTGTTAAGCCAAGTTCGATGACAGCGAAGATAGCTGCCACGATGTGGACGATGGGCACAAACCCGTACGCCATTGGAACCGTGTGTGTTTATGGGTTTAGAGATGTAAGAGAAAGGTTTTGCGATTACGACAATCGCAATCTCCTAAGAGCGCTGGTAGAAATAGTAGTAGCTAGTATTCGAACCTTTGCTATATACAAAAGATAGATGCGATCTTTTAGATAGAGATAGGTAGGATGAGATTGTCTGATTATGGGATTGTGGAAGTGAAGCTAGATTGTTGGGTATGTTTGATTACAAGAAACAGAGCCTTTAAAGCATGCAAACTTTTTATATGTATGCGGTATCATGAACAGGGACTTACATGTGGCATGGCGTGGCATGACGGGGAAAGCTGGTTACAGCACATCCAAGATGCGATGACGATTCGTCCATAGTGTGCGCGATTCGCAGCGGAATCTTGGAATTATGGCTACGGAACAAATAGTGCAAGTGGTCTAAGTGGTATATACCTCAGCCACTATGTAAGTGCCATCATGTAAATGACATGGATCTCAAGTTCTGAAAGCTCGAGTGGATGACGTGACGTGGACTGAATCAGTCATATTTATCCTAAGCGGCGAATAAGACGTGGACTTTGAGGCTGGGTTTAATTAGTAGACTGGTAAAATCCTATCTCATTCTCATTCGGCATTGTTATCCGAAGTTTGGAACTGCCTTTTTTTACAAAGAAAATACCTAGACAAAAAGGGCCAACTTTAGTAATGTGTTTGTCTTTCGTCATAGGGCGAAGAATATTATGACGTAATTGAGTCGATCTCAAGCTTTCAGATCTGATTGCCTGATTGCCTCAGGTAACCGCAAGCAACGTCTTTACCATATTCAGCTAACAGCTTGGCGCGTGACTAATTCGATTGGCCGAGTAAGACTTGGCGGATTTAGAATGTACCTAAGGCATACATATAAAATTACGTACCTAAGGTAACCTAGCCATAACTATAATAAATTCAATAAAAGTATTGAAATAAACGTTGTCTTACATCTCAAATTTTGAATGGCGTGAGATCCATTTGGATTTGATAATGAATTGTGTGACGCCATTATATTCATAGCTATTAACATCTCGGTTAACGTATGAGCCAAACTATATCTTCATAAAGGGTCTTAAGCCCTTGAAGCTAACGAGCTATTCAGTCTGCGTTATACTATATGTCGTATGTCTTTAATAGCATCATATTTTTTCTCGGTATCTTTCTCATATAAACTAAACATATAAGTAAACCACCTGCTTGGTGCGTTCCAGTAGCATAGGTACCTACATAATCACGTCATAATTCCTACATCTTAAATAAAAAGACGTTTAGGAAATATGCGCCAGCAAACATATAGAATAATAAATATGTCCTTAGACATATACTAGATAGAATGGATATAAAGTTACTTTCCCTCATCTCACTCGTTCTTATCAGTGCTACGATACATATAGATCCCGGATCTCCTCCCCGCCCCCGCCCGCTTTATGCAACTCGACGGCAAAGGGATAAACCACTCAAAAAGAGTCACAAATCCAAAAATGAACCTATAAAGAAATTTCTTGCATTAATACCTATAGTTATCTAACCTTAACAATAAGCTGCCTTGGAAACCAAAAACGATACACTACGGCGTCCTTACTAAACTTCCCTATCGAGATCCTAAATTATATGATAGAGTTAATGAATCCTTATAATAAACATGCCTTCTTTCAACTAAGCCTTACATGCAAGCTTCTTAATGAGTTAGCCACGCCGATCATGTATCGAACGGTAACATTCTGGGAGCCAACAATCGCGGGATACCAACGGGCTCCTATCCCATCTTTCATTCGTTCCGTCTTGTCCTCTCCCGTGCGAGCTTCTATGGTCACATTATTTGCCGTTACCAGCTTTGCTTGCGCCAAGGACCCCAAGGTCGTTGACTTCAACACTTTCATAAACGGTTTAAGAGAGGCTGTTCCTGACAAGTCGATACTAGAGTTATGGGAGAAACACCTCTTTAACTACACAGAGTTGCTAGATGATCGTCTGCTCCCAGGCTGCGTAGCTTTTCTCGCAGTGCTATGCCTTCCACGTCTCAAGATAATATTCTTCAGCGATCACTTCTCGAACTCACAATGGGACTTACTAAGAGATATCTTGGAAGAAAATAGGAATCGAGGGGATGAAACCCTAGTACATAGTGTTTGGCCTATGCTAGACTCAGTCATTATTGTCACGAGGTGGGACCAAACAGTAGGGAAACAATTTTGTTGTTCCGCGAGGAGCTCTAATCTATCTACGTGGATCTATGTCTAGTTATACACTCTAAACATGGTCTTTGTTCCATATGTTTTGTCTAGAACCCTGACAATTATACACGGTGAGGGGAGAATAAAAGCATAGCTGTCTTACAGAACTAACTTTCCATATAGACATGCATCATAATTATTACACCAGCGATTACAATGTGCCGCTGGCGATGTTCGCTCTGCTGCCGGGAGTAAACCGGCTCCAGGCTTCCTGGCAAGTTGATCCCGAGGTGGTAAAGCAACCCTCGTGTCTTACGCTACTTCCACTACATAGCACTGAGCTTGAAGAACTTATACTACAGCCTATGTGTAACATCCATTCTTCCCGCTTAGATATATTGCTGCGAGTACCCAAGAACCTTAGGATCTTTAAATTCCAAGCCAGAGCATTGTAAGTAATTCATCCCATCAAATGGGTTATGGTCTCAAGCCCTGCTATACTTATATCTCTGGTCAAACTTAGTTCACATCGCCATCAGGGCCGTTGACGATGCTCCCTTCGAATTGAAATGGCTAGACCGCTTCGTTTGTCACCAGTCCCACTCTCTGGAACACATCTCGCTTACGCATAAGTGGTATGAAGAAGACCTCAGTCTCACCAGCGAAATCCAAATCGAACCCATGTCCTTTTCCAATTTCGTCATCTTGAAGACGATAGAAATTTCACCAGCATTCGTCTTCGGTAGCCACGTGCTCCAACTGGAAAGAAGAAGGTTCCTCCGTTCGGTTAAAGTTCCCGATCCTTCAACTTTAAGTATCGAGTCTACAAAGTCATACATCATGGAGATGCTCTCCAAGTCGATAGAAATCTCACGCTTTGCGCAGTGTTACGAATTTTGGGATGCTAGGCGACTTGATCGCGCCTTGGTAGAACTCCTCCGATACCGAGATGAGCGCTTTCCTAATCTCAATACTATCGAAATTCACATTATACATTCTTTAAAAGCGACCTGGAGATTTGGTCTACCCTGGACCACCGTTGAAGCACTGTCGAGAGGTGTAAGCTTAAAATGCTTCAGAGGAGGGAGGCTCGGGTTGGAGCATATTGGAGGTGAAGACCTTGGGAAAATTTATCCCCGGCAATACGAGGGGGATGATGGGGTTTACCAAGCAAAGGAACTAGATGATTCTGATTTTCAAGAACGAGAAGAGGAAGATGACGGCGATGATGATAGTGAAGGCGATTGATAAATAATTCTTAGCATTCGGTTTGCTGGGATTTTATACTCGAGGCTTGCGGACTCGCTTTGCCCCTTATCCATACGATTTCAAAAACATTATTGAGGCGCTTCCCGGGCAATTATCAGCTTTAGTTATTATGCCGATAAAAGAACAGCGAACCATCATATCGTTTTCATTACGAACCTTCGCGTCTTTTTTTACGCGGCGTGTATTCTGTCGATGTAGCAGCTAGTAGCATTTAACTCTTGCGAAGCTAGGTATATGATGAGATTAGGTGTTCATAGACCTAAAGCAAATACTACTGTGCTAACTGGATCTTTGATTATTTAGATTCTAGAACTCCTTCCGTGTTGGGGAGTAGAGGCATTCCTCATCTAGTAGCGGTCCGTTAATACGTGTCGATTTTAAGCATCGATTATTTCGTTTTTCGATCTTACCCTAGAATTTAGTACGTTAGCTATGAAGAATATCAAAGGACTCAAAGAAGAATACCAAGCTTTTATGTCGTATTTTTTCTCTCTTTATATTCAAATGAGATGAAAGTAGGTAAGCAACAATTTTATCCTAACGAATCATATCACGACATTACAGCACGATCCGCCTTCTGGAGCCAGGGAGCTCGGGTTCCTGTCGTACTATGTAGGATGCCACGTGCTTTTATACCGGGCTTAGTGTGGTCGAGTTGAAGCATCCTGTCATCGATCTCATGTACTGTATAATGGTATAGGGCATTGTGCTATGTATATACTTTATGTATATACTTCCTTACAAGTTAAACCAAAAGACAAAGCAGATTATGTATATTCTTTTAGGGATATGGTGTACTTTAGGAAGCTATCGAAATTGTACCTAATCTTATGTATGAAATACCCATGTACGTCCAAGGCCTCGGCGAGCTTTGCAAGCAAAGCTAATCCTTGGTACGCCACAGGCATGCATCGTGCTTCTTTATTCTATGTTTCTATTGGACAATGGCTAATCAGTCAAGGATCAAGCTGTGAGGAGGCTGGTATGTAGATATCATTTCAACTTCTGCCAATCTCTACATTTGCCTACCGTTGCTGATATGTAAACTATGTCGGTGACCTAATAAATAGCCTTGTCCTCAGCTTTACGACCTTATTGGAATCCTAATGCTACATACCGAGACCTCTTCCCGTAATTTGTTCATTTAGGTCTGTTAGAAGCTTGTATTAATTGCTCGCTATGTACGTTAAGACAGCTTCGGTCATTGCGGTCATCCTCGTCGCAAGCGAGGTATCTGCTTTACCCAAGGTACCTGAGTGGTGGAAGCCAAAATCGTGGAAACCTCCGTCCCAGCACCGTTTCCAGAATGCCGAGCTCGGACCTCGTCCGCAATACCTTGTGGCCGATATGGACGAAGGATGGCTGAAGAACCGGTTATCCGCATGTTCTGACGTGGAAGCTCGGCCATCTAGGTTTAGTATCGGCCACCGTGGCGGTGCCTGTCTTCAATTTCCCGAAGAGACTCGGGAGTCCATCGAGGCTGGCACGCGCAGTACTACACCCTATACGTATAACCTAAAGAGAATATTACTGACTTGCTATTCAAGTGGGTGCTGGAATTCTTGAATGCGATGTGGCCTTTACTAACGACCGCGAGCTCGTGTGTCGACACGACCAATGCGATCTCCACACGACGACCAATATCGTCGCGACGGAACTGGGCGCTAAGTGCACGACGCCCTTTACGCCAGCAAGAGACGGCATGTCGGCAACTGCTAAGTGCTGTACGAGCGACATCACGTTGGCTGAGTTCAAATCCCTTTGTGGGAAGATGGACGGCTATAATGCATCGGCTACCACTCCGGGAGAACCACTCCGGGAGATTTTCTTCATGGGACTCCCTCGTGGCGGACTGATCTCTACGCTACTTGCGGCACGGTTCTCTCGCACAAAGAGTTTTTGCAGCTTGTCGATTCGCACGGCCGGGATTTTACGACCGAGCTTAAGCAGCCGCGTGTGCCGATGCCTTTCGACGGTGATTACACACAAGAGAAGTACGCGCAACAGGTAATCGAAGAGTACCGAGCTGCGAGAATCGATCCATCACGCGTCTGGCTACAGAGCTTCTCGTTCGCTGACGTGGCCTACTGGCTGCGCGCCGATCCTGCATTTGGCAGGCAAGCAGTGCTACTAGACGAGAGTGGCGATCTTCCAGGGTCTTTCCCGGACGCCGTAGCCAATTTGTCGTTTTATAAGGATGCTGGCGTACAGATTGTGGCACCTCCGCTTTCGTACCTCGTCGCTCTCGGAAAGGACGGCGAGTACGTGCCGTCTACGTATGCGACAACGGCGCGGAAGCTGGGGTTAAAGATCCTGACGTGGTCTCTCGAGCGCTCAGGACCACTCGCTCAAGCAGCAACCGCCGGCGACTATTACTATTTGACTATCGCTAACGGTACGCACAAGGACGGGGATATGTATAGGCTTGTTGACGTTTTGGCGCGGCAAGTCGGTGTCGAAGGTATCTTCTCGGACTGGTCCGCTACTGTCACCTATTATGCCAACTGCTTTGGGTTTTTCTGAGTACGAGATAAAAATCAGGGACGAATACTTGCAGCTCCGATTGTTGGTGCAGCTTGAGGGGTCTATTTGTCTAAACGTCTAGCTACCTAGACACGGCAGTAGAATCCGGCCTATGTTTCAACGGAATTATGTAGAGAGGTGTTTCAGCTGTAAAAACCGCGGATTCTTGTATTACGTGTCCTAAACGCGAGCATGTATCTACCTCTTGAGTAATAGTAGTTTAATAAGGCTGCTGTTATAAACATGTAAACCGAGAAGGAGGACCATACTCTCTTAGCAGTACGCGAATTTTGCTAATCAGTATACTTCGAATCAGAAAGAAAACATCTATAGTTCCTCTTTTCTGATGGATAGTTGCCTTACTCCGGCGTTGAGCGCCTTGAGATGTGCCCATTTTGGCGCGTCCTCGCCTAATCCCCATGCGAATACGCCGCCTAGCTTTTCCTTTTCAACGATGCGAGGGAACTTCTTGGCGACGGCTAGCGGAGTATCAAAGGTCCACCAGATAGCCTCATCTTGATCCCAGTAGTAGTAGCCACCCCCAACTTCATCATAACTTCCTTTTGTAATGGCTTTGTTGAACGATGACTCGACGTCTTCAGGGACGGTATCGCGCCACGAGAAGGACCCAGCTCGGCCCAGGTCAGCGCCCGTGTCCGGGTCTTCCATTAGACCGGTAGGACAGCCGATCGGGTTCTCCACGCACGGCGCGAGCTCGGTGCGAAAATACTTTGCGTAAAAAGCAAAGCCGAGGTTAATCTTGTCGCGTGTTGCACCCCTTTCCAAGTACGCATGCACAGAGTCTAAGCTAGCTTGAACGCCGGTGTGGTGTTTCGTCACATTATCGCGGCGGTTCATCAGGTCGTAAGTCATGACGTTCAAGAAGTCGAGGGATTCCATAATACGGGGGACGGTCTCGGCTTTAAAGGCGAGCATGTCTCTTAAGAGACCTGGTACCGCTGCCGATATAATTTTATCCGGGCCTAGAGCCTTGCGTACATCGGCGAGAAACTCTGGGTACGCGGCGACTTGCCAGGCTCTCTCCTCATTGGGAACCTTCTTCCAGTCTTCGCCGTTGCCTCTTGGGTGGGCATTAGTTTCACACCATAGAAAACGCTTGGGCTAAAGGTAAAGTGGGGATACGACGTACGCCGGATACTCCCAATCAATATCGACGCCTGCAATGTGCTAAGCGTCAGCGGGAAATACGCTTTTATATGCGGCACTAAGCAAGGCTTGAAAACTAACCATCAGCACCCGTATCGTGGACCATGGCGGCTACATTTTGAGCAAATCTCGTGCGGCTCTCATTCGTACGTGCGCCGGTATCGAAACCGGCCGAGTCACCCCAGCCACCGATGGCTACTATCACTTTGGTTCCGGGGTTGAATTTAGAGCGAGCTTCACTAACGGTCATGAACAGAGGCCAGGTAGAGCTGCCTACGGGACGGTTGAATAGGTCAGGGCTCATGAACGCCATAGCTACGTGAGTTATAGGCGAGCTAAGAGGTAGTTCGGGTGTAATGGGATGTTGTCTAATGCATGATCATTAGAACGAGAACAGGAGCTGGTGAAGCACAGCCTACCCTGTGAGATACATGATGTTACGAAGAGGCGTGGTCGCGGAAACCATCGCAGCAACCGAGAGGAGGCATGTAAGTGACATTTGAAAGACATTGGGAATCATGTTGACGGTTGACTGTGAATTACAAAAACGATGTTGAAAAAAGATGAATCATATTATTTTTTGGGGGGTTCAAAAATAAGACTATGATAGGTAGGAGGTGGATTTATACCTATTTAATGTGCAACTCCTTCTCGAATTATTATCATTAAAATATCAACGACGTTGTAGCTGCCTCCTAAGGTTTCTCACCGTTCGTTATTTCAGAGGTAGGTACGGATTACCTCCTAGGTTAGTGGATTTCGGCAGCTCGAGTTAGCACTTATACCCTTGCACGATATGCCTTTAATACAGGGGCAACAACAACCCTAGATACCTACCTCCTATGTAGGTATTCATCAATTGAGGTTTCCCCTATTAATACATAAGCCTTCTCGGTTACCGGCTTATAATCACATTGGAGATCTCGGGAGATCGTCCTTTTCACCCCCCCAAATATCGTCCGAGGTCGTCGCCTGCTTGGTTGTCATAATCCTCACATCTGGTAACATTAAGCAGATAATAGTGATTTTTTCATATTCTCGTCTTGACGCTGAATTATCCTATGGTATGCTCAAAAACCTTTGAACGATTAAGATAACCATGAATTCTATATTGTTATAGGTAGAGTCAAATAACTATGGAGTGATGGATATTATACCTCGAGAAGGTCAAACAGAACTCTCAAGGTTCATAGGACGTAGATTTGCAGGTCAAAGTATAGTGCCACGATTGAAGATAATATAACATATTGATCAGCTGGTAGTAGGTGAATCTATTGAACAATGAGGTTATATATGTCTAGTTAGAAAAGGAAAGTTTGCTATAATTGCGAGTAGAATTAGGGGTTGAGGGACCTATTCATTGTTGCGTACCTTACAGTACCCTTCTATTATCATAGGTATTCATATAAACACTACCTCGCAAAGCCTAATAGCTGCATATGACTTCCTTATCCGATTTCAATTTCTATGTAGTCCTTGTTTTCTTTTCTTTTCTTTTCTTTTCTTTTCTTTTCTTTTCTTTTCTTTTCTTTTCTTTTCTTTTCTTTTCTTTTCTTTTCTTTTCTTTTTTTTTTTTTTTTTTTCCCTAAGTCTTGCGCGTCGAGTCCAATACCACATATTCTACTTTACGCAGAGGTCCTTGGAATATCCACCCGATTTACCAGGATATGGAAAATATGAAGCAGATCTTTAATTAAAAGAGTTTCTGGATTATGTCAATTGCCATGTCAATTGACACCCGCCCATCATGTTCGAAAATCTCTGCACCTTGCCTCTAACTGCCGATCTCTTCTCCCAGGCCTTGCACCCAACAGAACCTCTCCTGGGAGTCGGCCTCTCGACCGGACACGTCCAATGTTTTCGCCTACCTTCTGCCGACCGATCGACCGAGGATAATGCCGACGTGAGTGTCCTGTCGGACGGTAAAGGTACCATTGAGACCGTATGGAGAACCAAAAGGCACAAGGGCAGCTGCCGTACATTGGCATTCAGTAACGATGGCTCAGGTTAGTCGGTTAGATTCTGTGCTATATTTGATAACACAAACTTAACTTGCAAGGCGGATAGCTTTATACTCAGCTGGTACTGATTACCTCCTCAAACACTTTTCTCCTGTAACCGGCCAGGTAGCCTCGAAGATCGCTATCCCATCTACCAAATCGGTCCCGGATTCACCCTCTCTACTACACGTTCTCTCGCCCCAAACGCTCTTACTTGCGTGTGACTCGGGCGCCCTCCATCTTCTCGATCTAAGAGACGGCGCGCTTGCGGCATCGAAACCGCAACAGACTCACTTCCCTCACGATGACTTCGTATCGAGCATCACCGCGCTTCCCCCGTCCGCCGAAAGCACGAGCGGTTACAGCAAGCAATGGATTTCCACTGGTGGGACGACACTAGCCGTCACCGACCTGCGAAGAGGCGTTCTGGTGCGTAGCGATGACCAGGAGGATGAGCTTCTATGTACGGCCTTCATTCCGGGCATGGGACCTAAGAAAAACCGCGAAAACGGTATCGTAGCAGTGGGAACTGGCACTGGGGTTCTTACTCTATGGGACAAAGGAGCTTGGGACGATCAACAGGATCGTGTCGTTGTCGATCCCGTAAAGGGAGGCGGTGAGAGTCTTGACTGTATTGTGCAGGTTCCCGAGGATGTGGCGAGAGGAAAGAAGGTAGTCGTCGGCGTAGGAGATGGTAGCTTGCGCATTGTTGATTTGGCGAAAAGAGAGGTCGAAATTCACTTGCGCCACGACGACATCGAGGCGGTTGTCGGTCTAGGCTTTGACTGTCAAGGCCGCATGATTAGTGGTGGAGGACAAACGATTAAGGTTTGGCAAGAATCATCTTCGCTAAGGCTTGACATCGACGATAGCGATTCGAGTAGCGATTCAAGTAGCGATTCGGACGAATCAGACGATGACGACGACGATGACGATGGTGTGGATGAGAGCATAGTGGTCGGAAATGGGGCTAAGCGCCATGCAAACAGATACTCAGATGATGGCGACTCAGATAGCGACGATGAAGGACCGAAACGAGGTAAAAAGAAACGGAAGGGAAAGGTGAATGTCGTCCTCGGACCTCACGGAGCCCATGGGATTTTACGATTCAAGGGCTTAGATTAGGTGATGTTATGTGCACCGTATGTACCATACAGAATATAAACTAGCATTCATTCTAAGTACATAAACTAACGGATCTAAGTACGAATACTACATGTATGTAGAAGGTAGGTAGGTATACGCGGAATACATACATAAGCTTCCGCCAAATGATGTAAGTGACCGACCGTAAGGGCTAGTTAGATTCCCTAGTTAGATTTCCTATTATCAGATTAACCCCTATTCCCTCAATCATATTCCCTAAGCATTACTTAAAAGGGGAGCCATCGGTTTTAAATAATAATAACATGATAATATATAATATATAGGTATTCGGCCAGCATTCGGTCATAGCGACGCAGCAACCCTTTCGGAACCGGGTACGTCAACTCTCAACTTCATGTCCTTGACTAGCTTTACCCAAGCAGCAGCACCCCGGCTTGCCAATTCCTGAGGCACCACCTCGTCCGTATCCGACATTCTCTGATTAAAGAGCTCCATGCTCACCCAACCTTCAAATCCGAGACCTTGGAAGATGGCCCGCGATATCTGAGCAACGGGAAGATATGCACCGCGTTCCTCCTCACCGTAGAAGAGCCTACAGTTTCGGGACCAACTCATCCGTGCGGGCTGCGATGCGTTGTAGAATTCGTGGCCTTCGACCAAAGGCTCGGCAAGCCGCGCAGCATCAACCACCTGAACATAGAAAACCTTGCTGACATCCACTGTAGTCACGAGCCGAGCTATAGAGTCCCGTACAGCTTGGTCGCAATTCGGAGTGCGGCCTGTCGACGAGGAGGGGTCGGCATAGATACGGCCAGCAATATTGAACGTATCGAGGCAGAGGCCAAAGTTGGGCCGGTCTACAGCCTGTACTATGTCCCAGCTCTGCTCCCATAGGTCGCAGCGAGTGCCCCAACATAGCGCTTCATATACAAAGCGTATCGGTGGTTGCTGGGCGAGACCCATGTCAGCCACTTTTTTAAGGTCGGCGACCGCAATGCGAGCATCGTCTGAAAGTTCGGACGACGGCAGGAAGTTGGAGGGGATCTGCACGGTATCTGTACCAAGGATCCTTGCCAGTTGAAACCAAAATGTAAGCTGCTCTATGCGCTTGAGGTGCGCCCGGCGATCTATCAATCCTTCGTAGTGTGCAAACGGCTGCAAGCATACTATTGCGAGTCCCCTCTCGTGGCAGAGTCTTCGGATTATTCGAGCTGCTTCGAGCTCGTTATCAGATATCGACTCTCCAGGTAGCTGCTGGGCTAGGTGTAGCAGGTCCTCGTGGAAGAGCTCGATGCCTCTATAACCGTACAGCCGAGCCATGTCCAGCTTATGCGCGAGCGGGTGGCCCGCACAACAGCGTCCGAGAGACATAGACGTGATGGCTAATCTGCAGGGCATATTGCTACGCATGGTGTAAAAGAAGGTGTAGTAGAGAAGGTGGACTCCTAGTAACATTCTCGAAGGATCTAACGATAGGTACCTAAATATTTAAGTAAATCTGGCTCATAAAGCACATCGATGAGCGTAGATCATGATCAACCGTAGAATCGATTATAGCAAGGACCGTAACATCCGTTAACAAACTGCGGCGCCTCCGAGTCCTGGAGACAAGAGTTAGAAGCGGGCCCCTGCGTCAGATAACATAGCACTTCCGAGGAGCTAAGTGGCGGAGATGATTTCTCTCAAGTGACAAGGGCGTCGCGTTCGAGACAGGCGAAAACTGTGGCCGCTCGTCCCGGTAGATAGACAAGTCACCAGTAGAAGGGATATGCTAGACTACAATGCTTTTGGGACGGCTACTCTTAGCCTTTATAGCCAATACCACGAGGGGCACCCGAACAATAATTAGCCATAGTTAACATCATATTTAGAACGATTTCTACTCTATTAGGAAACGATACAGGTCGCCACGAGCAACAGCTAGCTCGGAGGCTGGGGTTCGTACATACCAAGTCAAACGCCACTTAGGTGATTAATTAACCCAGGTGAGACATGTCTCTTAGCAGGTTAAAATTAAAGCAAACGGTTGGCGGATGATTACATATGACATGCGGTATTCTAGAGATCTGGTTACATTACACGTTTTGTCGGTCGTAGAACGAAGATTCTCCGACACGGAAGTGAAGAATAAGCGAGGAAAATACTGGAAGTGCAACTCGAGCATTACGAGGTAGTCCTACTTGATATTAAGATCGTAACAAGCGTCCCGGACATGGTATATCAGCTGGATCGTGTAAGGAGTAAACAGAGAAGATAGTTCCTTCTACGTCAATTTACTGGACTCGATTCGTACGTTGTGTTTTACTGTTGTTTTCGACGTGCACCGTCCTTAAAAAGTATCCAAGACTCGACCACGGCATAGGTATATCCTAGATAGTTATATCTTACACAGACCCGTCATCAGTGTTACCTATCGAGGCTACTAATGTCCCACACCGTACTACTATGAAATATTCATGTACACGGGTTGTTTTGGGGGGACTTACCAAGTACTTACCTATAATAGGCACTGTACGTTGTATCAGAGACGAACAATAGGTAGTGCTGCAGTAATAATCTAGTGTAACATATCAGCTTAGAGTCTTCTATCAGATCTAGTGAATTTATCTTTTTGGGTCTTTATGATCCAAGCTCCAAGCTTAGGCCTCAGGAGTATTGCATCCCTTACGCCGCGGCGGCTACATGTAGCTCTCGAGTATGAGCGTAGAGGATATCGTCAAGTACGCAACGCCTTCACAAAATAAACCCAACCGCGAAGCGGCGAAAGGCGACGAGCCCGGAGCACGGCGTCGTAGGCCGGAGACACCCACACCGGAATTCGCGGCGATCCTACGTGTCTCGGGTGATTCAACGTCGGAGCTAAAACGAAGAGCCGCTTTCCCAACAGAGAGAGTATCTAACCGTACTGTCCTATGGCTGTCATGTGGGCGTAAGAGTAGAGGGGCACACTCAACACTAGGCTCAACACTAATATCAGTTCTCGTAGCCCTTATCTAGATGGAGAGACTAAGGCGTGCTATTGTCATACGTTATACTATCTGTTCTATCAACTGTTCTATCAGATATATCAGATACCGCTGAGCCAAAGTCGACTAGTGCAAGCCGGGGGGCGACGGGGAGACGGGGGTTTATGGCGCGGCTCCCCACTTTGTTCTTTTCTTATCTATAACCAGTCAGCGTTTGTTGTTTAGAGATTCGCTTCGTGCAGTTGTCCTAGCTATCAGAAGTATTTTATTAATTCAGCTCTTTCATTCCGGATTGTGAATGGCCAATTGATTCGGATATGACATCCGAGATGAGCAAGGTAGATGATCTCAAGGCCACCTAAATTAGTTATCTATATCTACCTACCTAAACCTATGTATATCTAGCTACGTAGGCAAGCTACCTGTAGTTAAGCTGACTGATATCTCTGACAAACTGTCGCCTTTAATGTACACAGAAGCGTCGAAGTCTCGATTTTGATTTTTAGCTACACCTGAAAGATAAAACAAAAAAAAATGAAGAGGCGTATTCCTTGAGTTGTAGACGGCCTACAGCGTAACTGCCTGGGTAGTCAGATGATAATATCGGTCAGCTCCGCTATACCATCTCGCTAATATCCTCTTTTCCTATTAGGCGCATGCCGTGAGATCAGAGTTAGCTCTAGATAGGCGCGGCATGGTAAACGAGATAAAATAGGAAATTTTCTGGCACCTCTATGATGATCCTTGCTGTTTACTAATAAAGCAGTCCTGCTCCTCCAGCAACTTTAAGTTCCAAGGTTGGCAATATTGCCTAATAAGTGCTTTCTTACCTTTTATCTCGCATTTAATAACGTATGCGTATGAGGCTTTTGCGCTGTCAGACTTTACTCAACATACCCATCTCGTCAGCGCACCCGTGCCTCCGAACGTAGTATCGCCCGAAAAATAAGTTCACCAACGACGAGCTCCGATTACGGTGGTGACACTAAACCGGATAATGAGACTTGAACAGGATCTGTATACCGTGACTACCTCCTCCTTTACTTAAGCAATATCTTGGTATCTACTGTACCTATCTCCGGTATACATACCATTTCTCGAGTTTTACTCTTAGAATTTCCTCCCTACCTGCGCCCTCAATTCCCAGTCGTCCCTCTCGGGCAAAATGGACGAGGACCAGGGCCCATCTCAAATCGTGCCTCAACACGAACCGAAAAAGACCTTGAGTAGCCGACTTAATGGAGTCAAGAAGACGTTGTTCACGAAACAGGGGCTTGTGGGCGACTACGATTATGCCTTTCTTCTGAGGCCGAAACTACCGTTTATGAAGAGGTCTCGACAAGCTTCACCTTTTTTCGGCCTCAACGATAAGATGCCAGTCGTTTTGGCACTTGTCCTTGGCCTTCAGCATGCTCTAGCGATGTTGGCTGGAATCATCACGCCTCCCATTCTCATGTCGGGATCAACCGGTGTTAACTTCCCTGTCGATATGCAGCAGTATCTAGTCTCCACGGCCCTGATCGTGTCTGGTATACTCTCCATGATCCAGATCACTAGATTTCACATCTACAAGACGCCGTGGGTAGCCCTGCTCCTCCCAGTATTTCATTTTTTATCGCGGCAGAATTCTCTTCCGCACTCACGTAAATATCAGACTTACTAACCCAGCGCATATAGATATTATATTGGGACAGGACTTATCTCCGTTGTCGGTATCTCATTTTCCATCATCCCCGTCGCCCAGGGGGCGTTTGCGCAAATGTACGCCAATGGTTTCTGTCCGACTGACGCGGACGGCACGAAGCTCCCATGTCCCGATGCTTACGGTGCGCTTCTCGGGACCGCGGCGGCGTGCGCCCTCATCGAAGTGCTCATCGCCTTTATACCGCCTAGCATCATGTTGAGAATTTTCCCCCCCATCGTTACCGGTCCCACGGTGATGGTAAGCTTACCGCGCTTCTAAGTTGAGTATCTCGCTAATTTTCTATAAAGTTGATTGGAATCAGCCTCATCGAAACTGGTTTTAAGAACTGGGCCGGAGGCAGCGGGCCTTGCGCAGACGCCACGCACGCAGCGTTCTTCGACGTCTGTCCTAATGTAGGCGCCCCTCACGCCTTGCCATGGGGATCGCCAGAGTATCTAGGTAGGTTACTATATTCATCAACGTAAAGTTATTCACTAGTATTGATATGTATACTACTAGGTCTTGGTTTCTCCGTCTTTCTCACAGTCATTCTCTGCGAACGCTTCGGGGCTCCGATCATGAAGTCTACGAGTGTCATAATCGGTCTCCTCGTTGGCTGCATTATCGCCGCTGCGACGGGTTACTTTGACCGTTCGGGAATCGATGCCGCCCCGGTCGCCTCTTTCATATGGGTTCACACATTTAAGCTTACCGTATATGGACCCCTAGTCCTACCTGTACTGGCAGTTTTTATCATCTGTGCGTGTGAGTCTATCGGTGACATTACGGCCACATGCGACGTGTCGCGCCTCGAAGTAGAAGGAAGGATGTACGAATCCCGTATCCAAGGTGGTGTGCTAGCCGACGGCCTAAACGGCATCCTCGCTGCTCTTATGACGATTACACCCATGTCTACCTTTGCCCAAAATAACGGGGTCATCGCTCTTACGCGCTGTGCGAATCGGACTGCTGGATACTGCTGCTGGTACGTCTTCTTTAATTTTGACTTTTGGGGTTTTATCTTTTTTATATATTAGTTTTGATACTAACGGTTGGGTGAGAAAAGTTTTTTTCTTATAATAATGGGTGTTTTTGCGAAATTTGCCGCCGCTCTCGTCGCTATTCCTTCTCCCGTCCTCGGGGGTATGACTACGTTTCTATTCTGTTCGGTAGCCGTATCTGGCATAGCAATCATATCAAATGGAGTGCCGTTTACTCGTCGAAATCGATTCATCCTGACTGCCGGATTGTCGATCGGATATGGAGGTTAGTTTCGTTCCCCTTGCCCCTTAACCTCTCTTCAGCCCTCTGTATGGAGTATGTTTACCGAGTATGCTAACGAGAACAAAATAGCGACTTTGGTTCCGACCTATTTTTCAAATGTCTTCAGCTATAGCGGCGACAATAAAAGTCTTCAGGGATTCCTAGATGCTATCGTGTTAGTTATGGAGACAGGTTTTGCCGTTACCGCGTTCGTCTGCATCATCCTCAATCTCGCGCTAGAAGAGGAGATAGAAGAGACGGACGAAAAGCTGGTGGCTACCGACGAGCCGGTAGCGTCTAAGGGTATGGTTACTAATCGTCAGAGCCTAGATAGTAGTAGGAATGCCTCGGGTCATGAGAAACAGGGTTGATCAATACCGCAGGTACTTACCTAACCTATCAACCTACCTAACCTAGGTATATATATAGGTACCTATATATATAATAGCGAATGTTTGAATACGAGTATCTTTTTAGCATTTAAT